CTCCACTCCAGCCAACCCAAAACCAAGATCAGCTGGCATAATCACCCACTTACTTATGTCTCTCAGGGACTGCCTATACATAATTCTCATCTGTGCATCCAACACCCTACCCTGCTGCATTCATTATTACATCTATTCACTACACAAAATAAATAGATAAATGGAATACCTAGCATTTTAGAGGGAGCAATTAATTGTTAATGGATGCAGCGAGCGGGGCTGAGAGATGAACTTTATAGATCTTACTGTCATTCCCCCTGAAAATCGGCTTTCAAGAAAATGGAAATATTGGTGGAGTTACAGAAAGGGATGTGCACTTCACCAAAAGTGATTAGTGCAGACATTATTTGGGCTTTATTTCCAAATATGGCATCATTCATGATCTGGCTCCTACTACATTCATGCCGTATTCCTTAACAACAAACAACAAAAAATAGGTTGGTTTTTGAACTATCGTTAACCGCCACTAAATGAAGAGATGAGTTGTAGAACATAATAGAGGGTTATATAAATATTAAACCACTATCGAAAAACGTAAAAAGCTGTTTGTTTGTTTTCTGCAAAAAAGTAATGCTGGCATTGCCATTGCAGGAGTATTTCTGTTAAGAAGTTATTCTACATGTGCAGCAAACCCATTCTGCTCTATATATGATTAGATAATCTATTCAGTAAATAGAATATACACTATATGATCAAACATTCGTGGGCACCTAACCATCACAACTTTGAGTTTCTGGGACATCCAGTTTAAAATCATAGCCCTTAAAATGTAGTTGGGCCTCTTTTGTGGCTATAACAACCTCCACTCTTCTTAAAAGGCTGTCCACGAGATTTTGGAATGTCTGTGGGATTCGTGCCCATTCAGACAAAAAAGCAGAGGTGAGGTCAGGTACTGGTGTTGGATGAGGAGAGCAGACTTGCAATTGGTGTTTTAATTCATCCAAAAGGTGTTCAGTAGGGTTGAGGTTAGGCCTCTCTCTGTGCAGGCCACCTGAGTTCCTTCACACCAAACTCATCAAAATCTTTGTGGAGCTGGCTTTGTGCATATTCATGCTGGGGTCAGAAAGGGGCCTTCTTCAAACTGTTGCCACAAGGTCTGAAGCGCACAATTGTCTAAAATGTATCTGTATAATGTAGTATCAAATTATTCTTCACTGGAATCACAGGAAATCAATTTTACCAAGAAAATATCTCAAGGTGTACTTACAATGTTAAGTAACAGATCCTACTACAATAAGAAAAGTAGAAGAGGGGAAGAGTATGCTTAACAGAGATGTTTATTTTTTCAGTCATTTCTATTTTACTGCCAACATCTTTCCTAAAAATAAAGTCTCATTTTCAGCCACATCTGTTTATAAGGTTTATCATTTTGTATTAGACGTTATCCGTTGCACTTGAGACAGTCATTAGGAGTACTTTGCAGTGTTAAGTGGATTCAGTATGTTTATCTCCTTCTGAAATGCTCTGATAAGCCTTTATTTCTGAGCGAATTTTGAGATCAAAAGCTAAGGCCTCCAAATACCAGCTATTTATGGCAATGTTCTCTAGGGAATTAACTGTCGTGTAATCATTCTCACCTCCGAAGATCATTATGTGCTGGACAAGATCTTGTTCACCTAGAGTTATTTAACTTTCATCTTTCACAAGCATTGTGGCATGTTGCACCTTGGGCTGTTTCATCCCTTGTAAGCAATGATTTTGTGTTAAATGAAAGGAGTAATCGCACTGACACTGCTTCCCCGTCGCTAGCAAACTGCACTGGGAAGGTGAATACAATAAATTACAATAAATAGCCAAAGCACTACATTTTGCATTCTCCAGACACTTCCCAAAGCTGTGCTTTATCATTGTAAAACACCCTCTGAAAATATATTTGGGATACCATAAAAAAACTGCAACTCAAAATCATATGTAGTCCTGCCCAGGGGAGGACTGGGCTAGGTGGCAGGACAGCATTTCCCCCTGGGCCAATACAAATATAATATGTTTGGTTGGTAGTCCAAAGTGCAAATACGGAAATACTTTATTTGTATGTAAATATACCAAAAACTAAACAGCCTGTGTAATATGAACACCTTTTGAATGTAAGATCCTAAAGCAATGATTTTATCTTCAAGTTTATCGATCTTTAGAAACAGAAACCTTTCCACTTAAAAAATCTCCAGGGACCTGGCACTGCCATTGGAAATCATGCACAGGTGACATCTATGATCTCTTGGCAGGAATGAACAAGGACTGTGTACAACAATGGCAACAATGCCTCCTTTCATATAACAACTGAAACTGAACACAGTAGCCTCTATCTCTGCCATCTCTTCCCAGGACTTTTTTTGTGTTTTGGACTATACAGTAGGATACTTGATCATTGCAGGACCTACAAGATATAAGTAGCAACATAATGATTCCTTTTTGTTTTATCAAGCTATGTTATGATAGCACACACCCTTCTTTAAAGGATAAGTGCACTGTCAGAGAAAGTGCACTTATCCTTTTATGAGCTCTACCCTGACCTAACTGATCCTACCCTTCTCTTTGCACATATTCATGTATACTTCAAAACAATACCCACTGCCTCCGGTGATATTTTACATCCCATGATGCAAGTCCCCCACATACACTGTGCACTGTTCTTCAGCACCAACCTTCTTCTGGACTGAATGATGGCCAGCCCCATTTAACTTCCTGTGAACCTAGGAAGCCATTCCCCTGTGGGAGTTTTATTACTGTCTCACAAAAGAATGCTGCATAAAAGGGTGCTCATGTCAAAACTTGACCTGTTCTGTGCAGCATTATATTGAAAAGTTTGACCCTGGAGTCCCCAGGCTCTGTTGTGCACAAGTGGTTCCACACCAAGTATTCCTCCCATCTCCAAACAGCACAGTTTACAGTTTGTTTAAAACAAAATATTGTGTAAATATACAGAAAGAAAACTGCAAATTTTACTGAAAACGTAAATTTTCTTTGTGATCTTTTTGATGAAATGTAAACATTCAATTAATGCTGTCATAAGAAATAAGGAAAGTATGAGGGCTGTGATTACTGGCCTGCTTCTGAAAATGCTAGTTGCCAAAGCATCAACATGGCAGTCAGGGAAACTGACAAATTGGCACCTGCTCTAAAGCCCTTACTAGTTTCCATTCCTGCAAACTTTGTTCCAGCTCCCTATGGCCAATCCAAAAGAAAGAAAGGGTTACTGATATCTCCAGCATTAGTACTAAAACTCTTGATAGATAGGAATCTAGTATACTTAAAGGACAGTGGGAAAAACCATTATTCTCTCATGGCCAAATCTTCTCACTTCCAGTGTCTTTTTGCTGTATGCCATGTGAAAAATTGTGTCGGTTTGACATCTCATACCTTTTCACCTATATATATACATAGATATATACATAGGTATATACACACAGCTGAATGTATTCCTCATAGCAAGCTTCTCTTGGAATACTACTAGTGAGAAATCCCTCATTAAACAATGTATTCATAGCCCATTTACTGCTTCATGACTGAAACGGATTGTCATGCTCATTTACTGGTGAAGTATGCTTCATTGACTTATTGAAAGCCTTTTCCCTTGGCTGTACCTGGCACAACTGTGATTATTGTGTAAGTAAAATTAGTAATTGATTTTCTAGCCACCTTTTCTTCTAGATCACATGCATTAGCTAACTACAAAGGTAACTGCAAAGCAGTACTACAAAGCCCAACAGCCACTTCAACTGATCTAAAACAATGTTTAATGTTTGTATATGGGGAATAGCCCAGGATATATTATATTAGACACCTTCCGATAGCCTTTTTTGGTCAATGACTGTAAATTTAAACAGAGGAAAACAAAAAAATAAAGGTCTTTCTAAGGCAGGTGAAAAAACTCAGTTTAATTCAGCAATGTATGAGAGCGGATATCCCCCCCTTATATGAAAGCGCCATTACTGAAATCAATATGCTAAAATGAATACATATATCTCTTTTTACCTGACTCATCCATTGCACTATTCTTATTTTCTAAAGCTTCTTTCTACCCCTGTTGTATCTTGAAAGTGGCATTATTGGTGGCCAGCTTCTTGTTCTCTATTCTTTTTTGTAGGAGGCCACTGATGACAACAGCACCAGATCTTGACAAATTTCTGAAAAATTGGCCTTTTTTCCCCAAGATCTTGCATGATCTTGGTGGGAGAGAGGCATGTTTCCTTTTTTTTTTGTACACAAGAGATTTTCCTGGAAGGCACTGGTGGTCTGCAAAGAGCACTTGGATGAGGTTGAGCTGCCTAATGGAGGTTCTTTTAATCAGAGTACTGGCTGAATGGATTAAAAAAAATAATGTGACAGAGAAAAGTTTATATGTGTAATTTAAATGTGTATTTAGCTGTTTGGAGTTCAGCTTCAATGTGTGAGTTTTGACTGCAAGACCAAAACAAAATAAAACTTTGCCCAATTTTACTTGGTTATGTGATAGAGCACCCCAGGATAATGTATTCTCAGTGAAATAAAGAAAACTAGACAACTTGCCCATAGGGAGCATATACATGCCTTCTTTTATTTGTTTCTTTCTTTTAATATTTACTTGTATGGCAGAAAGAAACAAGCATGTTCAGTTGCACTGTAATTAGCCTTCCAACAAATGTGTACACCTTTATATCTACTGCCAGTTTGTATCAGTTTGTGCAGAAGCAGGGGATGATGGGTTCATCGTTTATCAACCAGCAATGTATACTGTTTATAACAACGAACTCCCAAACTGCGCTTCTCTATAGCAATTGCCCTACTATTCTAAATCGTGTAAGCTGCTGTGCTATTAAGTGAAATATCCACTGTGAAAACAAACAAACCATGTTTTTTGTACTTATTGAACAGCTATAACAAAAGTTATCCTTTAAATCATAAGTCATCTTTTCTTCTAGCCCCTTTATAAAGAGTTGCCCATTAAATGTTTCTTTTATAGTTCATAAAAGTCTGCTTAATAAAATACATTGAATAAGTGTGTTTCCTCTTACTTTCTGCAGGCTACAGACAATGACGTTGGAACATTTGGAAAAGTAAATTATTACTTCAGTGATGATCCTGATAGGTAAGAATGGCACATGCATAAAGAATTAAACAATAAAAGCAGAACTTAAAAGCCTGATGCATCAGAGCTAATCACATGCATTACAATCTCATGGTACAATCTCCACAACTTTGTAGTGCAAGGGATCTAATAGAGTGCTAACAAGTGCCTTGGGAAATCGTTATAATAGATTGTGTTTGTACACTACCTTAAGCATAAGGTAAGGATTGCTGTAGATACTGTGTGAGAAGGGGCAATTATTTCCCTGTCTTTCATTTTTAGGAATATATCTTCCTACCCATGGCCAATCATGCCCTTATATGGACAAATTTGGCCAATTAGGCATTGACATCTGATCTTTAATATCCAGAAGGGGCAGCAACAGCCAACCTCTGATCACCATATATGGGGCAAATATAGTCACTACAACACCACGTCAACCATTCTTACAGTTTATTATTGGGTGTTATAAACATGGCATATTTATCGGTGTATATCACACAGAAGGAGGCTTCTCTCTGTCTGTGATACTGCTCACCACTGTAGACTTCTGCTTCACAAACCAATGTGCAATCCTCTTGCAAATATAATCCTTGCCCAGTGTCTTGTGTCTTGGGTTTAAAGGCTGGACTGTAGGTGGCACCACCCTTTACAGCAAACATTGGGCTACATTTATCCTGCTCCTGCATGCTAAAAATCTACTCTTTGGCATCTAACAGATAGTGGGAAGAAAGATTGTGCTGTATAACATTTATAGGAATCCACAGATGGAAATCAAGGCAGAATTTTTCATCTAAATCCAACACACTTTTGGAAATTATTGGAACTTGCCATACTTCCAAAACATTATTTTTCCAGTACATTTTAGCTTTAAGTATAGGTATTTGAAGTATAACTGTGGTCTCCTATTAAAAAGGGCTGCAGTATTTAATTATAAGTGCATCTAAACCTAATTTCCTTTTCTCTTGCCTTCTCCTACAAAGTCCCACATGCTGATTCTGCCAGTGAAGTCAATGCAATGCAGTTTACTGGCAGGCAGGGGGGAAAGGGCAACTGGTTTTAAGAATACTTAAAAAACATAAACTAGGGAAAATCAAATTGGGGAGAGGAATTGGCGTTGAATATTTTGTGCAATTGAATCAAAAGGTGAAATATATAGTGGGATTGTGTGGCTATGCAAAAAGGCAGGTATTGGCTGGTGTACTAAAGGAGATTGGAATCGTCGCATAATACATTATGTGAATATCTACTTCAGTTATCCAGTCATGTAAAAATGATATTCTTGTTCACTTTAAATACACAATCATGTATCACTCAAATAAATAAACAGGATGTTGATTTTCACAGGCTGGATAAATAAAGTGAATATTCACACAATGTATAGTGTGAACATTCTCATCTAGTAAGTCATCCTCGTTATATTTGATTTTAAGCCTCTTGGCGCTGGATAATGATGTACATTTTTGGAAACTATTACATGGCATCCCATTATCCAAGTTGCTAAGTATGAACTGGGAATTATTTATGAGAACTTTATAAAGGAAACCTAGGAGTGTTGGCTTTAGAAACAAGTGAAGCATAAACAAATCTGGTAGAGATAAACAACAACTCTCCAAATGTACTTCTTACAGTTTGAACTGCAGAATGCAATTGATTACTGTAAGCAGCTTTTTCGGCTGCCTGATTAAACGTTCTTCTTTCATCTAGCTGTGTTCCTGTTGCTTCCCTGCTACATGAGTTTTGTTCAGCTCTGCAGATAAGAGCTCTGGTGACAGCATGGCTTCTGAAGCAGAGAATATGACAGAAGCAGAAAGGGGGGTAAAGGGGAGATACCAATATTTGACGCATACTTTGCTGCTACTTTTTTTTGTTATTATTTTTTGTAAATATTTTATTTATTATATGTAAATTTCCTGACATAGTGTTGATTTAGCATGTAAAATGCCATCAAAGAACAGCAAAGAACATCAACATAGCTGGGAAAACTATTGGTAAACATTTCACCAAAGTTGTCACTGTATGCAACAGAATAGGAATAGTATAGCAGAGAATGACTAGTATTACACTGACAATTTGGTTATAGTGTGAGGAGCATTTTTTCACAGCAAATGGTAGGTTTAATGATACATGAGATGATGGTTTGCTCTTGACTGTGCAAGTACTTTAGAAACAGAGAAATGCTAGTAACAAACATTGTCTACTTTAACTATAATGTTACACAAATAACACAAAATAATATGTGTGCTTACTGTTTCAAACAAGAACTGGATAGCTTGGTATTTTGGAGTTGTGATAGCAAACCTCCCAACTTTCTGAGATTAGAGACACGTTCCAGCACAATGTATTTAGGCAATGAACACACCCCTGCTTTGCCCCTAGTTATGTGTACCATTAAGAATTTATATTTCGAAAAATGATTGGTTAAACTCAAAATGTTGCACCCTTACTTTTCATTGATGCTGGCTTTTTGAAAAAACAAATGAGTTAATTAAAAGATAAGGTGATGTGGTTTTAGTTAAGTGTAGCACTCACCCCAAAGGAGTCAATGGATGGATTGGTCCCTCCTAGCCTTTCTTGGGTTGACAGTTCCATTACTGCTCCAAAAGGTGGAAGGAAGGATGGAGGGATTGCTGTGGATTATTAAGCACTACATGAACTACACTCTGTTAAGCTCTGCTTGGTTTTCAGGTTCTTACTTGACAAGGACACAGGTGTAATAACACTGATTGCCCGACTAGACTTTGAGACTACCCAGCGCTACACCCTCACAGTGATTGCACGGGATGGCGGTGGTGAGGAGACAACCGGCCGTGTACGTGTCAACGTATTGGATGTCAATGACAACACCCCTACGTTTCAGAAGGATTTATATCTAGGCGCAATCCGAGAAAATGAACCATCTGTAACCACAGTAATTAAACTTAGAGTGAGAAGTACATTTTTCTCTATTCTATTTATGTAATCTTGTCTGGCTTTTTTTTTTTTTTTGCATCAGATTTTTTTTGGCCAAGACTGATGATTTGTCCAAGTCTGTTGTTGATTATTCACAGCAAAGTCTAACGGCTCGGTTAAACCTTTTATGCATATTAATCCCCTGGAATTAGTGATAATAGTTTAGAGCAAACTGCTTCTAATCAACTGCACACAAAGGTTCAATTGGTAAAATTTCTCTGCCAAATGTGAGCTGTTTTTTTCATAGTTTTTAGTCACAATATGATCCTCCTGTTCTCAGAAATGGCACTGGGGTATTCAGCTGCAAAGGACATTGTTTTAAAATAAGATTCCAGCTGGGCCAGGCCCAGATATTGAATGAATTGCTTAATATGTCATCCTAAAGATCACACACCTGGATAGCAAGTCACAATGAACCTCTGTGGTTCACTATATATGAGGTTATTTTAACACCAAGGACTAACATAAAGAGATGCAAACAGGTTGTTTTGTATTAAATGGCACATCTCTTTAAGTTCTTTGGAGAGTAACCTAAGCTATTTTATTAATACCAGAGGTAAGCATATGTACTGTACAATATTCTAGACTGTTTGTGATGTTAACTCTTGTAAAAAAAAAGCTTGCCTATTTATTGGTTGTGAGGATTGGTTTGGGCTTTAGAAACATTGGTTTAGAAGTATAGGTTCTTAAGATTATATGATATTGTAGAAAGAACGTTTATTCCATCAAGTTAGCTTCACTGTAACACATGTGAATGCACAGCAGTTTGTACAGTGCACTGTAGTGCCATTAATTTAGAATGCCAATCCAATGCACACGTACAGTAACTGCCATTGTACCCAGGCTGTAGTACAACACAACGCACATGTCCAGTGTTGTGTAACAAAAATGGAGCAGGTATATTTCATCAGGTGTGTTGACAACCTATTCAATCCCGTTTTTTTGGGACACACCCCCAAACACATTACTTACGTGTAATGCTGTGTATCCCATCTCCTTCAGGCTGCTGCTTTTTTAAAAAAATACTCCCTTTTATGCCGCCTTCATAGCCGCCAGATAGTTCCCTGAGTGTCTTTCTTCTGGTGCTGTATGGGTTAACAGAAGCTGCTGCTAGTGTGAAGAGTTGCACCACTCTCCTGCTGCTACTCATGCTACTATTTTCCCAGAATTAATTGCATATTGGGAATGGGCGGTGGAGGTCCTGCCATTAATTCACTCCTTCTCCATTAACAGAATGCAGTGTATTGCGGGAGAATAATAGTACAAGTTGTCTTAATGTAGAAGAGGGTGTGAACAGATGGGAAAGCACACTATTGCTCCGGAATGTATCTATAATTTATTGTCAATGAAACAGATGTATGTTATACTAAATATTCGTTTCTGCATTTGTCTTTTATTAAGGCAACTGATGAAGACTCTCCTCCAAACAACCAAATTACCTACACCATCACTGAGGCTTCAGCATTCCGCAACTATTTTGACGTCTCAATTTCTGAGGGTTATGGAAGTGAGTAGAGAAAATTTGCAGGTTTAGATAGAGCTAAGTGTTTACTGTTTTTATAGGTAAATTTACAATCCACCATTCAACAATTTTCAAGAAAAGTACTACTACATATGATCTTAAAGGGTATCTATAGTCAGTTTTTTTTTAGTTATGGATGGAGTGAGGAAGGATTAAAACTCTAGTCCCAATCTCTTTAATGCAGGGCACACACCTTACAACCATCGCAAGACTTTTGTCTTGCGATGGTTGTAAGGTAATTAAAAAAATGTACGATCTGCCTATCTTGGACAGGCAGATTGTACTTGCGATGATCGCAAGCCCACCCCGCTGAGGGGCGGGCTTCCTATGACCGCAATGCTGAACGGGCAGTGTGCGTTTGCGCACACCGGCCCGTGCGGCTTTTATCTTGCGAACATGCCACAAACCAGCCGAAAATCGTACGCTGTTCGGCTGGTTTTTGAACATGTTCCTAAGATAAAAGTGGTACGACCTTACAGTAGTAGAGGTCACATGCCTTCCACACACCTTACGATAATCGTATGAACGCGGGATTTCCCGCGATTATCGTACGATTATCGCAAGGTGTGTGGGCACCTTAACAACAACACAGAAGTATCTATGCTAAGTCAAGCAGGGGAAGATACAAACTCTGACAGCTTTTTATTGTTGTCTGTTTCACTGCCTCAGATTTTCCTTCACATCCTGTCTGGTAAAATTTTGTCCCCAGAACAGAAAGTGAGGGGAACTCTAACC